GGCTATATGTGCGATGAAAGGGTAAATCGAATTTTGGTTGATGGAGGATCCTCAGTAAACATCTTGCTAATTTGCATTGTGAAAGAACTAGGTATTCCCATGAAAGAACTCTCAAAAATTCGTGTGCTGATTTAAGGATTCAACCAAGAGGGCCAAAGAGCCATAGGTGCGATCAAGTTGGGAATCACCATTGAAGATTTGCAATCAAGTGCATGGCTGCATGTGATCGATGTAAAGACTTCATACAACGCCTTTCTTGGAAGGCCTTGGATACATGAGAATAAAGTAGTTCCATATACCTACCATCAATGTTTAAAATACTACGAGGGTAAAGTCGAAAAGAAGATAGTTGTTGATGATGAGCCATTCACCGAGGTTGAGTCACACTTCGCCGATGCAAAGTTCTACTTGAAGAACCACATTGTGAATGAGCTAAAAGCTGATGATGTCATGAATAGCAAGAATGATGAGTCCACGAATAAGAAAGCTGAGGTGGTTGCCGACAAAACCAAGTCTATTGCTGAGGAGGTATACCCTAAATCAAATAAGTCTCAATTCATAGAGATTGTACACTCTATTATCTGAAATCAAATTCTACGATTGTTGCGATATTTTTCGGTCCTGATTTTATTTTCTAAAGAAGATTAAGAGGATTCATAGAGATTGTACACTCATATTGTCTACACGTACAATTTAAGAGCCCGTTTGGACATAAGAAATTGTTTCCTTTTTCTCAAAAAATTTCATTTTTTTTTTCCGAAATCAGCTTTTGTTCATAAAATTTCCAATTTTCACTTGAAGATGCATTTTGGAAATTTTCGAAAATTTGAAAAACTCCAAAAAGCTGTTTTTCAAAATTTTCTCTAAATCACTTACAAAACTTCAAAAACAACCCAAAATTATATTCATGTTCAAACACAACTCTAAATTTCAAATACCAATTTTATTTTAAAAAAACATTTCACCATTTTTTGGAATTTTACAATTCTTATGTCCAAACGCCCACTAAGGGGTCGTTTGGTACGAGGTATAAGAAGGTATATTGCTGGTATAAAAATTTAATACCACCTTAATAATTTGTTTGGTTAGCAAACCAGGTATAAGTTATTCCGAGATTAAAATTAATACCGTGATACCTTATAGAGGGTGGGGTAATTAGCACTGGGATAACTTATTACACCTTCTTAGAAATTATGCAATTATTATTTTTAATACAACATACCAAACAAAGGATAAAAAATAATTCCAGCATAATTTATCCCAGCATAACTTATCCCGACATAAACCCTACTCAAACCAAACGACCCCTAAGTCTCTTTTACCTTACGCATGAATTTTGAACTGTTGATGACAAGAGCAAGGACTCAGAGTCATTTCAATACCAATTTTGCACTTTTACTATCTCAAAACGCCATTATTGAAAGAGAACACTATGCAAGTAAATAAAGAAAAAAGAAAATAAAAAGAGTTTCAAAGACTGAAACTCACCGAAAATGGGAAAAGAAAACCATCAATCCATGTCTACAATCCCCCAATTCAACAGACAATATGTAAAAGACTCGAAATCAATCAACACCAATTCTGCGATGAAAAAGGGTTTTCAAGGTTTTAGGTTATGTGAGCTTTGGATACGAAGAAAAGATAATAGTACATGATGATCTGTAGGTACGTATATATAAGGAAGTAGTAGTTATTATAGAGATTATAGGTTATCGCGGATGTAGTTGAAGAGACTACCTGACTTGATGGCCTCTTAAAGGGTCGCACTGTTTCACTTTATTTTTAAATTAGTAAGCAGTCTCTATCCAGAGGGCGGCGACGGATATCTGGTACCTTACTCAACTGAGTACCAATGGCACGCATCTTTCTTATCACACCATCATGGATAAATGGGCCAGAAAGGCCATCATGAGATAACCAGAATACAACATAAGGGAATGCTAGACATAGGACGACCCAACATGATATAGAAACTTATACATGTGACATACGGGCCTATACGGCTGACATGATCATTTGTATACTCAAAAAATAGGCCGACAAGGCCATAAAAGTATCCATATACATGAGATCCGTCTACAAGCCTCTAAGAGCACATAAACATTATAATGGTCGGGACAGGGCTCTGCCATACCAATCAATACATGTCCAAATCATACTGACCAAATAGGCAACTCGGGAGCAAATGGAGTGAACCAACACCTTCTGCCGAGATAATACTCTGCTAGGATGACTATCAACCTTCTATCAGGACCTGCGGGCATGAAACGCAGCTTCCCTAGGCAAAAGGGACGTCAGTACGAATAAAATGCCGAGTATGTAAAACAGAAAAATATAAATAAGAACAGTAATGTAAAGAGAGATAGAGGAGATACAACTTGTAGCATCTGAGTGCCTCTAAGGGCTACTGTCATGAAATGCATGATACATATATATACATAACTATTAAAAACATACGCCTCTATGGGCGTCATCATCATCATATTGTACCTGGCCTCGAAGAGGACTCGGTAAAAGCGTACCCGGCCACGTGGAGCTCGGTAAACCCAACTGATCAATGATTGCATAATGTGTCATACCCGCCGACTATAGTGCGGCTCGGTAGAATAAAATAGATATTATATATAATGCATGTCAGACTCATGGAATCACGTTCTAAACCTTTCGGAGTGACGTATGGTCGTTGCACCTTCTATTAACGTTATGGACATCATACCATCAATATGAACCTCAATTGAATTCAATCATCAGATATACATGCTTAGAATAACTTTATTAGGAAAGAACAACATGGACAACCATAGTTGCTAGGAGTAGATCCTTTATGAAATAATGTATCGTTTATGTTCGTTTCACTTTAGATCATGCCAAAAGAAATAAGGAAGTGCCTTAACATACCTTCACCCCGTTGAGTCCTTAATAAATTCCAAGCAACTCTTCAAATAATTCAACCCAATCTATCATAGCATAAGGAGATTCAAAGTCTGTAACTTAAGCTAGTAGCTCGTTTACGTAAATTCGAGCAGCATCTCTCCAGTAACAAGGGCTTCCTCCAATACCATATACCAACAACAATAATCAAAGAAATACAATCAGCAATTCAAAAACAACCTAACTACAATTTGGGGCCTTTAATACCACAAAACCCCTAAATATACCATAACACACCCAATCAACAAGTTATCAATTAGCCTGAAATTGTAACAATGAGCGACCAGCCTACTACCCTACCATATGTGGTGTTTATCCACACCGTTTTATCCTTCCAAACTCCATAAATCAGCATCACAACAGGCCAACACGAGTGGACTACAAAATAGTCCACTAAAAATAAAATAAATCGAACTCACAGCTTTCGATTACCGTTCCGTGAGTTCTAACTATTAGGAAATGAATTTTATCAACCTTCCTTGATATTAAGAGCTTAAATTCAGAAAATAGACGTTTTTTTAACTATGAAGTACCTTCCAAAACTCAAACTACAAAGAAAAAGAGAGTTGATATAGCGATACTTACGTTGTATGATCGTTCTGATGTTAGCGCTTCTTGATTTCGTACCCGGAATGTTAATCTTATTTGAAACCCTAGAAGAGAGCTTATGGATATGTTTATGGATGTTCCCTGGTCATTTTGTATGGAAAAATGAAGATAAAGATGGCCTAAGACCTATATATATCAACTTTGGAAAAGTCAAAGAGTTGCTAGCTTGACACCCTAGCATTGACCCAACTTCCGATGCTTATATCATTTTATATGGATGTCCTATGAATGAATAGTTAAAAGCATTGGAAACTACATTCTATGACCTTCAATTTTATATATAATATGTCCCAAAAAGACCTCATATAACACACAACATGTATTGCTCAAAAAGCTTTAGTGACACACCTACTTCTCACCTATGAAGTCTCGCAAAACTGCAAATATCTTGCTACTCCGATGTCATATCGATGAACGGTTTAATGAGGTAGAAACTAGACTCGTAGATCTTCAATTTGATATGTATATCATCCCTTAAATCCAAGTATATTGGGAGAAAAGCACAGCTACATTTGGCCTAATTTTTAGCACATTATGAATGTACCTTGTGATGACCTTTGCCAACTTTTGTTCCACAACTCACTTGACTTAAAAACGTAACACCCGGATATCATAAGACTAAAATAAATCATAAAATAACCTCCTTATCATGTTAAGCACCCTAGTTTCACCCCAAAAGTATACGTTATAACATTCCAAACTTGTCGAATTTCGGCGAAACTTATTTTTTTCAATTCGTTTAGCGTCTAAGCTTTCCAACCGTACTTGTTATTCATGATATTTAAATATTTGTAACCTGCAAGATAACATGATTAACTTACTTTATGTACTTACAATGACGATCTCATTTCTGAGCTTACATCAATTGACTTATGACATACTCTCACGTTCGAAAACATGGGGGGGGGGGGGGGGGAGGGGTAACCTAAGCCTTCAATAAGAATTTAGAAATAATTTGATTAGAGAATTTATTGTATTGAGATAATTGAGTATTATCAAATGTAGTGGTATAGTTATTTATCATATTGTTGATTAGTTAGTTGTTAGACTTAGGAAGTTATTAGTTGAGTTAGTTACAGGGGTATTTTTGTAATAAGCATTTTTACTCTTTTCTTCTCGCGTGTATAAAACTTAATTCTACTGGATAGAAGGTTAAGATCTTTTTCCCCGATTTCATTTTGTCCAGAAGTTACTCTCACGAGATCTCAAGCTCAACCTCTTTCAATGAAGGTCAATTCATCTGTTTGATCTCAATCTCGACATGGTATCAGAGCACAACTCGATTCTCACATCAACGCATCTTTCTCCTTGTCAAATTTCATCATTCAATTTCAGCTTTTCAATTTTACAAAATCAAAATCTGCACTTCACAGTTCGTTGCTAGTATTTGAAATTTCTCAATTCTTCTCTCTAGATTTAGATCTTACTTCAACTAATTTTCTAAGATTTGTCTTCAATCGATGGCCGGAGACGAGGAAAATCAGAATGCGAGCAATAATTTGGACTCGACCAATCCGATGTACATGCACCCGTCGGAGAGTGCCGGAACGACTTTGGTACATGTTGCATTTGATGGAACTAGGAACAGATCTTGGAGAAGAGGAGTTCTCAGAGCACTATCCATGAAAAAAAAGGTTGGATTCATCACCGAAAAATGTAAGAAACCTAATCTTGATGATGCGACTTATGATCAGTGGGCTCGATGCGATGACATGGTTACATTGTGGATTCTAAACTCACTTTCAAAGGACTTAGTTGATAGTCCACAATATGTCAGTGATCCTATGGAATTATGGCAAGAGCTGGAAGATAGATACGATCAAACTAATGGAGCAAAATTAAATCAATTACAGAAGGAAATTAACGACCTTATCCAGGGAGCTTTGGATATCACAGGCTATTACACAAAAATGAAAAGGCTTCGGAAGGAATTGAATACACTGAATGCACACCCACAGTGCAATTGTCAGTGTACCTGTGGTGCAAAGGTCAATACACAAGGCTGAGCAAGATCGGAGGCTAATTCAGTTCCTGATAGGCTTATATGAAGTCTACATAGTGGTGACAGGCAGCATACTCATGAAGAATCCACTGCCCAACATAGCACAAGACTTTTCCATTCTTATTCAAGAAAAAAAGTAGAGAGAAGTCAGGCCAAGCAACAAACTTGTTATGGAGTCCACTTCATTGAATGTAAATGGGCCTGGGAATAAGAAATTCAGGACCAATTATAATTCAAAAGGAAATAATAATAACTCGTACAATTCAAACAAGCAAGGGTATCCAATTACCAAGTCTCGATTGTTCTGTGACTATTGCAAAAAGCCAGGACACACTAGAGACAATTGCTACAGGATACATGGTTTCCCACAAGATTTCAAGTTCACTAAGGGGAGAAATGCAGCATCTGCTGCAAATGTTCACACAGAATGTGAAGAAGCTGAGGGTGGATCTCACAACAATTTCAGCACTTGACAAAGGATCAATACAATTAGCTGCTCAGTCTATTGGACAAATTTCCAGGGAGGAACACAGGGGAAGGCTCAAACAATATAGCATGTGGAGTTGCCAACTTTGCAGGTATTCTAGCTTGTTCTACTTATAAAGAGATTGTTGAAACTACTGTATGTAAATGCTCTAAATTAGTTGCTGACTTGTGGATATTAGATTGTGGAGCTTCAAATCATATGACCTATAGAAAATCTTTTCTCAAAAACATTAGAACCTTATCTTATCCCTTTATAGTTATACTACTTAATGGATATAGGGTGAAAGTGACAGAAATTGGTGATGCATTTCTTGGTCTAATGTTAACTCTTGTCAGAGTGTTGTATGTACCTAGTTTCAAATACAACCTCATCTCTATTCATTCTCTAACAGACTATCTTGATTGCATAGTTAATTTCAGCAAATATCTGTGCATGATGCAGGCCCCTTCAATGAAGGGGCCTCTGGAGATTGGTAAAGCAAGGAGTGGTTTGTACTTCTTATGCTAAAAATGTCATAGTAGTCCATCTTCTAACCCTTTTACATTTTACTCCCATTCTTGTTTTCCTGCATAAGTTGATGTTGTAAATAGAGGAGAGAGTCACAGTCTGCCTTTACACTCATTATCAATTGTAAATAGGTCACCACATTCAATCAACAATGTAAGTAACCTTCAGTCAAGAAATAAAACTAACTCTCCCTTTGGTATAAATTCTTATCTGTCATCTAATGCATCTCATGGGAACATTGTTGAACATCTTGGCATAGTAGACTAGGTCATGTATCCTTTGTGAAAATGAAAAGAATATTTACCATACCAATTAACTTCTCTCCCAAACAACCTTTTCTCGGTTCTATCTGCCCCATGGCAAGGCAGACAAGACTGTCATTTCCCCAGAAAACCTCATCTACCACCAAATTTTTTGAATTACTGCACATAGATTTATGGGGTCCCTATCACATAGCTACACATGACAACTACAAATATTTCCTTACCATGGTTGATGATTTTAGCAGGTCAACCTGGACACATCTCTTGAGCAGCAAAAGCAACACCCTTCAAGCCATTAAAACCCTCATTTCTATGATTGAAAACCAATTCAATTCTTCAGTTAAAGTTGTTAGAACTGATAACGGGCTAGAATTTGCAAATAGTGAAGCCATGTTGTTCTTTCAAGACAAAGGCATAATTCACTAGAAAACCTGCCCATACACACCACAACATAATGGTGTGGTGGAAAGAAAGCACAAATATCTTCTAGAAATTGCAAGGGCCCTGCTCTATCAATCCAAATTGCCAATGAAATACCGGGGGGGAGTGTATCCTTACTCCCACTTACTTGATAAACAGACTACCCTCTACTGTCCTTAATGATAAATGCCCTTTTGAACTTCTCTACAACAGAAAACCAATTTACTCACACCTTAAGAGCTTTGGCTGCTTATGTTACACTACCACACTTAAGACACACAAAGATAAATTTAAACCAAGGGCTACTCCCCATGTTTTAGTAGGGTATCCATTTGGGGTAAAAGGATATAAAGTTCTGGATCTAGCCACAAGGAGGGTACATGTATCTAGAGATGTTCTGTTCCCTTTTGCTATTTCACCTGAACACTCTTCATTTCCTTCTGTCTTGCATATGATAAATTCTAATTCTTCATGTCCAAACACCATTGTGAATGATCCTGCTGATCATTGTGTTGTTGACAGAGATGCATCAACTTCTGCCACTAGTAGTCCTATATTTGAGAATATGCAGTCCCCGGTCACAAATACATCACCAAACTATCCAAGTCATGTAAGCCTACATAACCATGACTCACAACAGAATCCAAATTCAGAAAATAGAACTCACATTCATAGTCCTATAATTAGTGATCATTCAGAAACACAGGCATCATCCCTTGAGCAAATACATCATATAAGGCCTGATAATAACCAACCTAATCCTAACTACATAGGAGATCATGCAGAACACTCATCACTCCCTCTCACCTTAAATACTATGTCTGCACTCTACCAAACCTACAACCACATAACCACTCAAACAATGGTGTAAATCCTGAACATCAACCAGTTCATTCCACATCACTCACTGCCCTTTTTACCAACAGCCAGTCTATTTCCTTCAATGTTTTAAGCCATGATAGTCAGCAGCTGGTAAAGATTATTTCACATGAGTGTGAACCAAACTCTTAGGAGGAGGCAACTGTGAATCCTTCCTAGCAGGCAGCAATGACACAAGAGTTTGAAGATTTATATACTAATCATACTTGGGATTTAGTTAATTTTCTTGTAGGAAAGAGAGCTATAGGGTGTAGGTGGGTGTACAAAATCAAACACAAAGCAGATGGAAGTGTGGAAAGATATAAGGCAAGGCTTGTTGTAAAAGGATAAACTCGGGAAGCTGGAGGTGATTACACATAAACTTTTTCTCCGGTAGTGAAGATGACTACTGTTAGGACCTTAATCAGCATTGCAGTAAAGAAAGGATGGGATCTCTATCAACTGGATATGAACAATGCTTTCCTCCATGGAGATCTACATGAGAAAGTGTATATGGATGTCCCACAAGGTCTGATGGTGGAGGATAAATCACTTGTGTCCAGACTAAGGAAGTCCTTATATGGACTAAAACAAACTAGTAGGCAATGGTATGACAAACTGACAGAATCTTTGCATTCCTGGGGGTTCAGGCACTCAGCAAATGACTATTCTTTATTCTACAAGAAACAAGGTGATCAATCAGTTTTTGTGGCAATATATGTTGATGATGTGATTCTTACTAGGACTGACCTTGAAGAAATCATAGCACTGAAGGCATTTTTGCACAATCAGTTTAAAATAAAAGACTTAGGGAAGTTGCACTACTTCTTGGGCTTGGAGATACTTTACAAAAATGATAAGTACTGATCTCTCAGAGAAAATTCACCACAAATTTGTTAAAAGAATATGACTACTTGGGGTATTCTCCTATTTCCTCTCCACTTGACTCATTAACCAAACTCAAAGCTGAAGAAGGTGCTTTGTTGGCTGATCCATCATATTACAGGAAACTGATTGCGAAGCTCAACTTCCTGACAAACACAAGATTAGATATTGCCTACAGTGTGCAACACTTAAGTCAGTTCATGTAGACACCAAGAGAACCTCATCTCAAGGCTACTATACATGTCCTTAGATACTTGAAGGCTGATCCAACCTTAGGGATTTTTCTATCTAATGATCCTTCATATGAAGTCACAGCCTGCTGTGATTTAGATTGGGCTGCATGCCCTGATTCCAAGAGATCTGTGAGTGGATACCTTGTACTCCTTGGAAACAGTCCAATCAGTTGGAAATCAAAGAAGCAAACCACTGTCTCATTGTCCTCTGCAGAAGAAGAATACATGTCTTTGAGGAAGGTGGTTGGTGAGTTAGTGTGGGTCAAGCGCTTATTGGAACAACTAACAGTCTTATGTGATGCCCCCATCCCAGTCTTCTATGATAGTCAAGCTGCAGTGCACATAGCTAAGAATCATGTGTTCCATGAAAGAACAAAACATATAGAAGTAGATTGTCACTTTGTAAGAGACAAGTTGCAAGATGGCTTGACTACACTCCATCATATTTCCACTAACAATCAGCTGGCAGACATCTTGACAAAAACACTTAAAGGGTCAAGCATTATGATCTTCTTGGCAACTTGTCTGTGACTTCATCACCTCCAACTTGAGGGGGTTATTGAGATTAATTGAGTATTATCAATTGTAGTGGTATAGTAATTTATCATGTTGTTGATTACTTAATATTTAGGCTTAGTGATAACAGGCTAGATCTAGGTAATTTGGCGATTGTTTATGCTCCCGCATGATTATGTTCCAATGTCATAATATGGTTAAAATGCTGAAAAATGGGCTCTAATTGTGAATTTTACACATTGCAGGACGAGGAGCCTATGTGATGCCTTAAAGTTGAGATTGGAGCTACTTTGGAGCAAGAAATACCCCTCGGGGCTGATTGTGCGCGAAGACTAGACAAAAAAATCGAGGAAATAAAGGCCCAGACTAGCGCGAGCAGTAGCGCGATCGCGCTAGTCCAGATGCGGGAGGCAGAATGTCAGTCAACTAGCGCGACCTCTAGCGCGAGCAGTAGCGCGTTCGCGCTAGTCCCAGTTTCGGAAAGACTTGTCAGGGGTAAAATTGGAAGTCTGGAGGAAATTTCACTTAGCCTATATAAAGTCAAGCTCGCCCAAGGATTATGTGTGAAGGTTTTCATAGTTTAGTGCAAGAGGCGAGGAGGACGTTTTTGAGAGGAAAAACACAAGCACAGAGCCGCCGTGGAGGTCGGGTTTCATCTTTTCTTCCACCAAACTTAGTAATTTTTATGTTTCTTTGTATGATTTGTTATTTTGCTACCATGTCTATGTGGAGCTAAACTTCACGTTCTAGGGTTGTGGTTCTTTCATTACTATTGTTATTCGGATATTGATTTTGATTTCTTGATTTATCGTATTAGTTTATTCATTCAATCCTG